ATAATTTTTAGAATCGCATGATCGTCCGTGCGAGCGTCCGTTCGTTCGTCAACAGTTGATTATGCAATGTTGATGAATGCTAGAGTAACTGGCACCTTGTGTAGTTAATAAGTACATTACCTTATAGCCAAACGCGTATTAGTTTGTCCAATATCACTGCTGGTTACATTACAAACAAGACTTGAAATCGGTTGTTGATATGTATCAACGAATCATTGACGTGCCGTAAATGTCATCCAGGAGTCGAGCGATGAAGTAAACATTTGTGCGGCCCATGTGTTTTGGACGCCAGATGAAACGGAGGTGTCAGCGGTGTAACCACGGCCACGGACTAAACATGAAAATAGAGAAAAACACACGTACTAATCACGGACGCACGTGGACAGCCCTGACAAAAAGTTCCTTATCACGAGCGTCCATGTTTATGAAATCACTGATGATAGCATTGCGTACGGCCGAGCATGCATGCGAAAATGTCTGGTGCACTATAAATCTGTATCACACCCGCTTCGCCGGCAGCGGTTTGAAACTGTAAACAACAGATTTTTGGACTGCCGGATTCAATTAGACATTTCTTAGCAGTGTTGTAGTCGAGTCCGCACCCCCCGAGTCTGAGTCCGAGTCCGCACCCCCCGAGTCCGAGTCCGCACCACCCGAGTACGAGTCCGAGTACGAGTCCACACCACCCAAGTCTGAGTCCGAGTCCGAGTCCAGTTTTGATTAAAAAAAAGGGAAAAAAGGGGAAAAATCTGAAAAAAGGGGAAAAAAGGAAAAAATCGTAACAGTGCATCGTAGACAATCGAAAGTGTATAGTCAGCCGAAAACAGAGACACGAGTCATACGAAACGTGTCAAAGTAACGGATCCATTTGTGTTTTACGGGAATGACACGGCTTGTTGAACCAAATGAGAGAGTGAGGTACCTTCGAAGTGGTAGAAGAAGAGAAAGAAGTGGTAGAAAAAGCGCAAAGGGACGAAGTGACAGCAGATTCAAACCAAAGGGACAAGAATCTTAATCGAGCCATTGAAAACGTTACAAGATTAGGCCGTGTATCTAGAAAACCTAGGAGTTTTACTATTAAATTCTTGTAAACAATATCGTGTTACAATATGTACAGTTGTGTACTATGTATGTAGTGGCCTCGAGCCGGCCTCGACCCGAGTCCTCGAGTCCGGAGGGCTCGAGTCCGAGTCCAAGTCATTGCACTCCGAGGCCAAGACCGAGACCGAGACCAAGGAAAACGGTCTCGAGGCCGGTCTCGAGGCCAAGACCGGCCTCGAGACCTACAACACTGTTTCTTAGTAACCAGCATTGATATTGGACAAACTAATATGCGTTTGGCTATAAGGTAATGTACTTATTAACTACACAAGGTACCAGTTACTCTAGCATTCGTCAGTTCATTGCATAATCAATGGACCTATTATTCCTTTAATATCCATATTCTTATTGCATAGGGACAGCCATGTAATGTACGTTGTTACACGTTTTTATATATTTTAGGTCAGGATGATTCCTTTGTACAAGAAGAAGAAGAAAATCTGCAGTTGGATGGGCAGCACCAAGCCGAAATCGCCATGCAACAACAGCAAATGTATCAAGAACAACAGCAACTGGCTAGAAGACAAGATGAAGAACGCATGAGCATTGAGCAAGAGAGGTTGTTCCAGGAACAGCAAGAAGCTGCACGAAGACAAGAGGAACAGATGAGATCCTTGCAGGAACAGGAAGCATTAAGACGACAAGAGCAGGAATATGCACGACTGGAACAGCAGAGATTGTTCCAGGAACATCAAGAATCTGCTAGAAAGCAGGAGGAAGAGCGATTAAGGTTGTTTCAGGACCAACAAGAAGCAGCCAGAAAGCAAGAGGAAGAACGTATTAGAATGGAACAAGAAAGAATGTTCCAGGAACAACAAGAAGCAGCCAGAAAGCAAGCGGAAGAGCGTATTAGAATGGAACAAGAAAGAATGTTTCAGGAACAACAAGAAGCAGCCAGAAAGCAAGAGGAAGAATGTATTAGAATGGAACAAGAACGAATTTACCATGAACAACAAGAAGCAGCCAGAAAGCAAGAGGAAGAACGTATTAGAATGGAACAAGAAAGAATGTTTAGGGAACAACAGGAAGCAGCCAGAAAGCAAGAGGAAGATTGTATTAGAATGGAACAAGAAAGAATGTTCCAGGAACAACAAGAAGCAGCCAGAAAGCAAGAGGAAGAACGTATTAGAATGGAACAAGAAAGAATCTACCATGAACAACGAGAAGCAGCCAGAAAGCAAGAGGATGAACGTATTAGAATGGAACAAGAAAGAATGTTCCGGGAACAACAAGAAGCAGGGAGGAAGCAAGAGGAAGAACGTATTAGAATGGAACAAGAAAGAATCTTCAATGAACAACAAGAAGCAGCCAGAAAGCAAGAGGAAGAACATATTAGAATGGAACAAGAAAGAATCTTCAATGAACAACAAGAAGCAGCCAGAAAGCAAGAGGAAGAACATGTACTTAGAATGGACACAAGAACAGAATTACCATGAACAACACAAGAAGCAGTCCAGACAGCAAGAGGAAGAGCATATTTGAATGGAACAGAAAGTAATGGGTTCGGGAAGCAACAAGAAGCAGCGCAGAAAGCAAGTCGAAGACGTATTAGATATGGAAAAGAAAGAACATACGCGCACTAACAAGAAGCACACCCTCGCCAGCAAAGCAAGAGCCAAGAAAGTATTAGCAATCGGAACCAACAAGGACAAAAATCCGGGCCGCAAACACACCGAACGCAGCCAGAAAGCACGACGAAGAAACCGTCATTAGACATGACAAGAAGACACTACTCACGTACCCAACAAGAAGCCAGCCCCCAGAACAAGAGGCAGAACAGTGTTCGACATGGCACACACACGCCAAAGACACTCTCACGAAACAACGCCCCCACAGCAACGCACCCAGACCGCACGAGCCGCAAGACAACGTGCCTTCGAATCGGAACAGACGCATACTCCACGCGCAACACCACCACGCACCCACACCCAACAACGCAGCCGAAAACCCCACTCACACACATCGACGCACGAAGAATATTCCGACCGAAACCAGCAGCCATATGACAGGCAAGCAACACCGCGTAACACCGCGCATCCCGCACGACACGCACGACGCGTCATCCGCGCACCCACCCGCTACGAGCTCCAACAACGCAAGCCACCAGCACCAACGTCCTAACGCCACCTACACACCACCCCCCGAACCGAGTCGACTACCCCGAACACAGAAGAACCTGAGGCCATACAGCACAGAAGACACACTCGCCTGCACCACCAGCAGAGGCCCGCCTCTTTCACGCCACATCACCAAGAGGAATTGTTATCAAAGCCATCGCAGACGGCAAACCCGGACTACCACAACAGTGCCAGGTGACGACTACTACCTATTAAATATTATATATTCTATGATCCTAATTACAGCCGAATTCAGTATTCTCACCGAGGCCGATGTCCACTGAAATCAGAAGCAACAATCTTATATTGCAAATCTCGAACGATAGCTATTCAATATTGTCACTTTCTTCTCACTATTCATTCGTTAAAGCGCTAAACCAGCGAAGTTCGTCCTTTCAGTATCTCTGACGTTTTCTAACTCTTTTAGACATAGCATCATAACTGTTCCGTGTCAACGTAGAGAAAAAAACATCAGTCACACACATACCTACTACACTGTGCATAGAACATCTAGCCTACAGCGCTTGTCTACGTACACCGTATTTCAGGAAGCTACCTTCGACAATAGTTGACGATCGCTTGCTGTTAACAGGCTCACCGACCTGGCCCGTCGAGGTCACCCCAGAGGCTCTCCACAGCGCCAGCACCCTCGTCAGAGATGGCGGCCGGAATGACAGGAAACCAGAGACAAACGGACCACCACGGAGCTAGGAGCAGACACACAGAACGGGCCATCGACAAAGTGAAGAATGAAGAAGAGCATGATGATGTGTGCGCTGTGTTTAGAATAAAACAGATGGTGAGTAATACGTATTAAAAGTATCAGGTGCGAGGGGTGCTTGATAATATATAATATATATGATGAAATTATTGGGTTTCCGGGAGTTGTCAGAAGACGTCAAGGATCGGCAATTGCGTTATTCAGTTGGCTAATTGGATGCCTAATTTTGCGCATGTCATACATTACAGTCAAGCTCTGGAAAACAAAGTGTTTCCCTGTGGTAAGATTGTCCATAAAGTAAAACACACGCAGAAATATTAAGACATTCCCAGCTCATCGTTGCAACCTGCAGTGGCGAGAACAGCTTTTTCTGGCTAGGTTGGCAGCAGTGCTCAGTGTGCAAGCATGTGATTTTAGTGGACATATTAGTTGTTTTTTTATTGCTATACAATATGCTCCTCACCGCGCAATTACAGAGTGCTGTATTACCCATCATTATTACAAGTGTGCAGGGAGTAGAAATTAACTTTGAATGCACGGGAGAGTCGGACTCCCTGCCCTCAAAATAGAGGAGTCCGCAGCAAAATCAGGGGAGTTTGCAGTCTGAGCACAAATTACAGATATAACAATACACATGTGCATCTTTTTAAAATGTCATGTGGTTTGGCACGTCTGACAAATTTTCTTGGGACATTTGGCTGAAAAATAATTCTGCGAGGCCGTGCTCTGAACAAACTAGTTAGTGTAATAGCAGAATTTTCCAGTGAGTCACATCAGACTGCCTGCATAAATAGTGTCAACATCAGGGTGTCAGACAACTAAATCAGGGAGTAATTTGACCTGGACCTCACCGTTAATTTCACACCTGAGTAAGTGTGTTGATTTCTATCATGTGCATGAACAGGAAGAGATGAAGCTAATGGCAGAGGCAGATGCCCATGCATGAAGAAGGCCGAGCAGGCAGCGAAGCTAGAGGCTGTGGAACGACAAAGGTAAACTACAATTTTAGTGAATGAAATATGTATAGTCAGGGATGAGAATGTCCCGCAGGATGCTGCGGAAATCCGCGATGCTGCGCGGAAATCCGCGCTTTCACAGTCCAAGTCGATTTTGTGACACGTCTAAATCCGTTGAGAGAAAATTTAGGGGGTGTTAGAATGTACAATTTTTCATTTCACACAGCCAACAGTACCTTTATTTAATAAATGTGTACATATAGTCTCGCTTTACAATATATGACCACGTGCTTAGTTCACTGTTTGCGATTGTCAGACCGTGGGCCAGTGTGGCGTTTATTGTGATCGCTGCACAGTTGTGTGTGTATGTTGCCGGCGCATCGCTACGGCAGGTTGTCATATAGTAGCGCGATGACATCGATCGTGTACATCAAAGCCGGCCGCGTCACGCGTGGCCGTTGATGCTCACGTTTTATGAAGGTAGCCGCGCCAGGCTCTGCGACTGTTTTCTACGTGGGTAGTAAACGTTAGGTACGACCTGTTTTTTCAGCTTCTCCTCAGCGAAGTGATCTGTTCATATACATAATATAGCATAACGATAAACGTGGTGTCGTGTAGCTGCCTTTTCGGCTGATCTTTGCACACAACCGACTAACAAAAACTTAATCGTCGCCGCGACTCCGCGCCCCCTACCGTCCTACGGCGTGTTAGGAACTATATATCGTGCGCCACCAAGTGAAGGATTTTTGGGCAACCTTTGGCGTAGCAACTAAAGTCGTTTCCTTTCCTGATGTCTGCTCACTGTGGGGCTCCAGCAGAACTTGCCTTGGGCAGCAGGACAAGCCTGCTACCACGTTGTTCAACTATGATCAAAATCATCACTCGCTCCGTGACGCAGGAAACAAATTTGACAAACTGCCTGGACAATGAACATCTTTATATTATATAAGAGGTTAGCTTTGGACAGTGGGGAACGTGTACATAAAATTAATATTGTTTGCATAAGTGTAAGGTACAATTCTCTCTTGTACTTCGCATCCTATTAATTCTGCGCGCTTCTCTCTTGATCAATGACAGTGCCAAGATATACTCACCGCAGTGTAACTGTCAATGTGCTCTGTAACTAATTCTGTTCTGTACGTGCTCTCCTAATCGCACATTCTGCCCTTGCTAATTGTCAAACACATACAAAAACGCTTCCTGAACACCACTGACCAGGTTCGCCTGGACCTGACCGCCTCCCGCCGCTACCGCCCTCTCCCGCTGGATCCCGGCTCATTTTCAGCTGAAAACACAGAACTTGTCATTCCCATCCCTGTAGTAGCCCTATAGTGTTTAATATATATCAGTAAGTAGATAATAGGGAAGGGAAGTGACTTCTATATAACAAGGGAAATTCGTCACTTTACTAGCCTTAGAATACCCTACGATTAATCTACTCCACACGCTGACCTCCAACGAACTTTGACGCTCAAAGTTGGTACATACACATTAACCCCGCGCCCCCCCCCTAACTTTCGCAAACAAAACAGGCCAGCTAACTCGATCTGTTGCACTCCTGCCCTGCCCGCATCGGCCGCGTGTCGGCTCGCTCGGAGATCTGTATATCCGACGCAAGGCCACACGTCGCCGAGCGTAATCTTTGACCGGACTAGCTGCCTTTTGTTTTCAAGGTTAGGCGGTTTATCACATTCGGTTTGCTGCCAACAGAATGGAGAATCGTGTCGTACGTTTTAGTCTGTATCTCTGGATTGGGGTTATAAGCGATGAAAGCGACCTTCCTTCGCACTGCACCATGTCCGAGGCGAAATGTAGCTGTGTAGGATTTGAGCTCCAGTATGGTTGAGTTCGGGCTCACGCTCACACATCGCCCCTACCAAGTATTCTACAGCGCTAGTATAATGACGAATTTTCCTTGTTTATTGAAGTCACAGCTCCTTGTTTCATATCTCTCTACTCTCCGCAAATATATACTACTTATTCTACCTAACTATATATATATATATATATATAAATAATAAATATATATATATATATTATATATATATACCCCCCCCAATAATGATCATATATATCACCTACCAGTTTTTAATCTCCTACGTCACTCATGTCAAACCCTGCTAACACCGCAACAGCTGTCTCTCTTGCACTCCACTCCCACTCTCATTGCACCCCCTCCTCGTAATCCTTGTCTCCACCCGCCACTCCCCCTATATATTCGCACTCTATAATCTGCAATCGCCTAAATTGAAGGTGTTGGCAATCGTAGTCATCGTATTTTTCGCTACATTGAATTTTTCGCCACTCTGCAGAGCAAGAAGAGGCTTAAAGTTGCTGTTTGGAGGGCAGAAGGCTTTGGAGATGCAGAGAAGGAAGAGCAGGGGAAGTAACCAGATAGGAGGCAGGGAGCAGAAGCTGCGTGAAGAGCAGGCGATCGCATCGCAGGAGGCAGCTGTCACGCATGCAGGATGAGGAGAGAAACCCCGCCGCACACGCGCCCACGCCAGCGTGAACGCGCGCTCGCTCCCGATTCACCCTGACACCTGCGCCACAGACGAGAGGCCATGCTGCTGCGCCACGTACCCGTAGTACAATAGTTAGCGAAAGCTTGCGTAATATTGCAGAAAGAAATGAACTTGTGGTATAAGTACATAACCATCACGTGCATATGTGGTAGGGAATTCGTCTAATGTCGCAGTCGATCTATGCAAACTCTGCTTTGAACGGTCAGTCGTAGGCAGAGGAGAGAGTGTGTATTTGCCAACAATTATTAGACCATCCCCCCTAATGCTCACGCGTTCTACTGCACGAGCTCCTCAACACACTTTGTTGACCAACTTACTAATGGCTCCACCTGTTCCTAAGCATGACCTTCTACTACAGCTATGACGTCGCTCATCCCTCCACCCTCGCACCCGCGGATTCCGACTCGTCCGACTTGGAATCTTGCCCACCACGTACGTTAAGCTCACGTTAAACGGGAAGACGAGTGTGGTTGTAAGTCGATGAGTGGATGCAGGGAACATTCTGCAGCAGCTGTTACCCGGCCAGCGCGTCATGGCTAGAGAACACGGACAAACCAGCGCAGGCATTTCGAGGAGCAGCAGCAGCGGCTGCGCAACCCAGCAGGCCCGAGATCAGACTTCGCAGCTGCAGCATGGCAAGATGTGTTCAGGTACGTGGTACTGGTGGGGGCTTCAGGCCTTCGCCTTTTCACGGTGCGATCGGGCCACCACGCTCCTGTAAAGACAGCCCCCTCTCCCGTGATCCACATGCGGGCTTTTTTTCCGGCCCAGTCTCTCGCTAAATTTGAGATTCTGACGAATCCGAAAACGAAAAACAGCCCCACTCTAGATGGAAAATCAGCCCGCATCGCCGTCTCAAATGTGATATGTACCAAAAAAAAATTCGAAGTCATGTAATACTAGCCCATAGATATATTCTTGTTATATCATTTGTTTGGATATCGTTTAGAGCTATTGTCAAGCCAGCTAGTGTTATGGCTGTTATGTCTGGTAGCGGTGAAAATAAATATTTCTTGACCTTACCTACTTAGCCTACGTACGTTACTTACTTTACTTACTGACTTAGCTTACTTACCTTACTTACTTACTTACTTACTTACTTACTTACTTTTACCATACTTTACTTACTTACTATAACTTTAGACGTACTTACTTACTTCCTGTACCTACTTTACTGTACTTTACCATACTTAACTTTACTTACTCTAACTTACTTACTTACCTACTTACTTACCTTACTTAACCTACTTACTTACTTAATACTTACTTTACTTACTTACTTACTTCCTTACTTACTTACATACCTTACTTAGCTTACCTTACTTACTTACCTACTTACCTACTTACTTACTTACTTGCTTACTTACTTACTGTACTTACTTACATACTTACTTACGTCTACTTACGTTACTTACTTAGCTTACGATACTTACTGTACCTACCTACTTACTTGTACTTACTTATTACCTACTTACTTTACTTACTACAATACTTTAGCGAGCGAGACGAGGAGTGCTTACTCACTTACTTACTTACTTACTTAGCTTACTTACTCTACTTACCTTACTTACTTACTTACTTACTATACTTACTTACTTACATACTTACTTACTATTACTTACTACTTACTTACCTTACTCTACCTACTTACTTACTTAACTTCCCTTACACTACTTACTTACTTACTTACTAACTTACCTACTTACTTACTTACCTACCTACTTACTTACTTACTTACTTACATACTTACTTACTTACTTACTTACCTACTTACTTACTTACTTACCTACTTACTTACTTACTTACTTACTTACTTACTTACTTACTTACTTACTTACTTACTTACTTACTTACTTACTTACTAACTTACCTACTTACTTACTTACCTACCTACTTACTTACTTACTTACTTACTTACATACTTACTTACTTACTTACATACTTACTTACTTACTTACTTACTTACTTACTTACTTACTTACGTTTGCAGCAGCGGCAGATGCTGGAGGAGGAGAACCGGCAGGAGCTGCTGCAGCATCAGTCGATGCTCGAGCGTCAGCGCGAAGCTCTGGCGACGCAGCAGCAGCAGCTGATGGAGACCGAGCGAAGTCGGCAGCAGCAGGAAGTTGCCAACCAGCAGCTGCTGCAGAAGGAGCTGGAGCGGCAACGGCTGATCCAGGCTGAGAGCCATCGCATCCTCGAGCAACAGAGACAGGTGAGGCAGCGAGGGTCTGTCTCTAGCAGCAGCAGAGGGAGTTTTGTCTGTAGCAGCAGCAGAGACAGGTCTGTCTGTAGCAGCAGCAGAGACAGGTCTGTCTGTAGCAGCAGCAGAGACAGGTCTGTCTGCAGCAGCAGCAGAGACATGTCTGTTCGTAGCAA